AGCAGTTTAATCTGTAATGATAACCACAGTGAAGAGCGCACACACATTTGATTTCATCAGTCCATGTCTACAATCTGTATGTGATTGCTTTCTGCTGCATCATAGCTGTCATAACAGGCAGAAACTCAAACAGAGAGCCAAACACTGTCACAGGCCAGGCAGGATTTCCCATGTATGCAGGCAGTAGCTGCTTCAGTACACATTGATCACATACGTCTAAGTCTCTATGTAAAGAAAAATGCACACACAGAGTTTGGAAGGTAATGGTGATGGGGGTGGAGGGTGAGCGCTCATGTGCAATATAAATGTGCATGAGCCTGAAACCGTTTGATTGTGTGTGGACAAGGAAGCTGGCACCACTGCAGTCCTTTTGGTGTTAACAATAGACATCAAAATGGGATAAGCGCTCGTCTCAGTACAACAGACAGATTTTTGTCTCGGTTCTTCCACCTTCCACCTCTTCCACTGCAAGAACTAAAGCCTAGTATCAGCCTAGAAATCTTGCATACAAAAAAAAAAACGCTCCCTGTAAAGCCGGGCATACACTGTGGGATATTTTCAATCATGTACGCAGCTACAGCTCAAACTGTACAAGGAAATCGCAGGGTTTAAAAGTTCACAGTTCACGATATATGTTATCACACTGTGCTGCCCGACGCTCATGTGATCTACCTGCTCACACTGCACTTCAAAAAACCACACATCAGAATCAGCGCCTAGATATGTTGCTGGTTGGACTCTTCAATCTGGAAGAAGAAGAAGAACTCCTTTGCACATGCGCAGTGCTCGAGGTTCTGGTAAATCAGCTCGTAGACGCTCGTAGCTCTGCTTCAACAGCAGGATTTGCCCACGAACACCTCACGATGGCCGACTGAATTTCAAACATGTTTGATTTTCTCCCGATCTTACGATTCCTGATCAGTAGGTGGTCGTGAGAGACTAATCGCCCCTGTACACCACACAATGCAGGACGCACGATGAGGCTAAAAGTCGGCCCGATTGAAAAATACTCGCACAACTGGAGAATCGGCCCGAAAATGGCAAAGAAACCATACAGTGTGTGTGACTTAAGGAGGTTCTCATTTTTGGATGAACCTTAAAAAAATTTTTCTTTTTTTGCAAATACAAATGTTAAAATTTGCCACTCAAGTTAAAGGTAACAGGAAAAGTTAAATTACAAAATGTTGTTAATCGATACAAATAAGAACAATCGCTAATGCTGAGGAGAGATCGTAGGCTGAAATAGAGTAAAGAAATCAATAATTAGCCACTGCATAAATACTGTATATATGTTCCTTTGGCACATGTCTCTCTTGCTCTTATTATGAAAGGTCTGTGGATTAATATATTTCCTGTGAATTAAGTTTCGTTTTAGAGTGTAACCATAGGTAAATTAGCCTCGTGAGACCATCCTGATCTCGCAAGCTTTCAAGGTTTCACTCGCAGATCAGTCTGGAGACTCTCTGTTAAAGAAAATTTGGAGCCGTTCACCAAACGAACGTCCAATCAGCGTTGGCTTTGAGGCGGGTTGAGGTGTGACGCAACGAGAAGCGCGACAGTTCAGTCTAAAGAACATGGCGGCTTCAGCCGATAATACTAGCGTTAGCGTGGCTATCGAGCAAGTTTTATCTGAATTACAGAGTATTTCATCAACTGAAAGAAGAGCAAAACACTGCTCTGGAGGCTTTTCTCAGAGGAAAAGATGTTTTTGCTCTTCTCCTTGACTGGTTTCGGCAAGAGTAGCCTAGCTTGTGGTTGTGTTTTCGTCGTCGCTTTGTTAGTACGTCATATGCTTCGTTGATCTGATTGGTTTATTTGGCCCGTCTATCACCAACATAGGCCAATCAGCTAACCAGTATTTTCGCCCCTTCCCAAAATTACTTCAACGGAAGGTTTCCAGATGGATATGCAGAGCAAATCCATCTGGCGGAGTCAGGTTATAGGTAAATGTCATAGCTACAACTTTTAAAAGTGTTATTTTTTTTTAAAAAAATCCACAAATCATCTTGAAGAATAAAATAATTATTTTTACTGAAAATATGTAATATATAATTAATTGCTTTATCAATTTTGATGGATTCAAAATAAATAAAATTTCAAAAATATGATCATAAATTAATAAAGAAATATTACTCTGCATCAAGTGGAATAGCATGCTGAAGTCATGTTAGTGCAGCTCAGACATTGCCAAGTCTATGATAGAGCTGAGATGTGGCTTTTCCTAAGCATTACATTTCTCAGATTCAAGCTAAAAAAAAAAAAAAGAAAAGAGCAAAACATCAGCCAAGCTTTTGAGGTTTGGTGCCAACTTAAGAAAGCAAGGGGGCTCAGAAGCCTTATAGAGGTTTTTGCTTTTTTTACCAAACAGGTTAGTTTAATGTTTGCTAATGCTAATCAAAGGTTAGCAAAAGTATTAGCCAACAATAAGCTCGCAATTCCAACAGATAGAAAGTAGTGAGTGTTTAACTCCCCCCTGCTGGCCAGGGGGAGTTAACCTGTGGCTATCTCCTTTAAATGATCACAAAAATGTCTTTAGATCACAGGATGTAACACTGATTGGAGCTCTGCTCTCCTTCCCTCTTCTTTTAAAGATGAGTAAACATAGAACCTTTTGTCCCTAAAATTCAAGTCTGATTTTACCTGTACCTTTCTCATGTGTGTTGAAGGTAAAAGAGTTTTAACTACTTGTGAATATAAGTTATGTCAATGAACAAGAATTTTTATGAATGAACCAAAACTAGACAAATATAACAACCCACAGTATGTAGCCATCAGCTTTAATTTAGTAGACCAAGTGTTTTTTTCAAACCTTTCATTTTAAAGGGTGTTCCTATGGACTTTACAGACTTTACAGGAATTTGAACTAGTGGCAGCTAAATCACAAACTCTACATGGGTTTAATGCTTAACCCCTGCACCACTGATGTTTTTCAATCATAAACATTAGGGCTTAATATCTACTATCCTACATTTACATCTTTTTTTGATTCTTTGCTTGTTGTCTTTCTATCAATGCAATTTTTTTTCACAAATCAAAAAATGTATTTTGGTGTTTAAAATCTGACATGATTTAATGACACATTGTTATTCAAAGGCTAGGGCGGGGTCACATATTATGATAAGAGCACCTGATATTACAGCTGGTGACTCGTTAGCCACTGTCCTGTCAGACTGACATTACATTGTTTAAGATGTTAACCATTAGTGTTCAGTCAATTTTTTTCTTGTATTTGCATCATCCAATTCCTTAGTACTTTCAGCAGCCATGCTTTTTCATGTGAAGCGCTCACACAACAGCTCTCTCCATTTGCTATTAATTTTCAATCTTTTGTTTGATTTGGTAATAAATGTTTCTCATTTGCCTGTCTTTACTCTTGTGTAACATTTGTTATCATTGTGTCATTTTCAGCGTGTAAATGGAGGAAGGAAAAGCTATATGGCTTCAGGAATTGGCACCGAAACATGTTAAAATTATTATCTTAGGTCTTAAAAAGCTGTATTGGTTGATCACTAGTTTTTGTTTGTTTTTGTACATATTTCGCAAATACAAGCTATTTATGGTATCTAAAAAGATAGTTTGGATTTCTATTCTGTTTATTTATGTAAAATTTACATATTCACCTGAAAAAACATTAGTAGCGAGATTTATTATTTTTTTTTACAGGAAACAGTGTGTGCCGGGAAAATGTATAACATGAATATTTTGGGCGTTTTCTTGTGCTGGGTGGAGGAGCTGCATCACTCCACACGAATAAACTGTGTCATCCTGTGAATGGATCTTGAGAACAGATTGTTATAATGTAAAGATTCTAGAGTCTCAGTCCACTCAACTAAACTGCCGTTCCCATCACTAATTACCTCTAAAGATATACTTGTATGCCACTTAATTTCTGTAGTTTTACTCCATCAAAGGTGGTACTTAAGATATGCAAAATTACTTGTCCATTCCCATTCAGAGCAATATGTGTTGAATGATGATGACGACTGCTCCTTTGTTACTTGGATTAACAGCCGTTCACTGTATGACTTGGAAACAGTACTGTTTACAGATGGTAAACACGGATTTCACATCAGGATACTCACATTTTAAAGCATAGCAATGAACATAAGCAGGATCTGTAAAGCAAACTTGCTCTAATTGTTGAATGCAATCTTCCCAAAAGCTGAGGACTAATAGGTGTAGCACCTTAAAACATCCAGTCATTGCATCATAACACCATTTACCAAACAGTCCACACAATTTCATATATTTGCAAAGTGTGTATAAAACTAAAGGCTGCAATAAAATGTATATGCATACAACACAGAATAAACCACATTATTTAATTATATCCTATATAATGAATTCATTTTAATTAGCTTTACTAAAAGTGCAATACAGGATCATCCAACCAAGCAATTTAAAAAAATAAATAAATAACCTGTTCGAGCTGTGCATCCTAATATACAAAATAAAATATATTTAAACCAGCTAGATGTGATTAGAGACTGAAGCATCATCTTCACTATACCTCAATGTTTCTAGCTAGGGGAGAACCTACAACCAAAAAACAGACTTACATAACATGTACTAGCCTTTAATGCACTAACAGGCCAAAATGCAGACACAATCACATCCTAATCATATTTCTTCACCAGCGAGCGCATTAGTTTTTTTTGACACAATGCAAAACCTACATTTATGCCGTGTTTTGATTACATTTAACAAATATCCTCCCCTTTATTAACAAATTAAGGGCGTACTGTAATTATTTATATCTAAATTTATTAAAAATATGCTTTATGAATGGCTGGCAGGTATATAACACTGAGCATCAGATGGAATATTAAGAGAATACTGAGAATCCCAACCGTTATTAATGTTTAACAGCGTTTGAATGTACAATATAACGTCGTAAATTGGCCTAAACACAGAATTAGCCCGTTTTATTCAGCAGGTGTTTATCCTCATTAAATACATTAGGACTTCGTTGTTTTACTAATTATTGTGTGTTTTCTTACCTTTTCTTTTCTGTGTGGTTTCAGACACGGTACTCCTCCCCCGGAGCTCCTGTCCGTCGGTCCGAGCACAAGCACAGTGCGAGCGGACAGCTGGCAGAGCGCGAGCCGCAGATGCTTCTCGGCTGACGATCAAGGAACAGCCAATCAGAAGCCGTACGAACCCAACCAACAGAAAAAAACCGACCAATCAGAGGTCAGATGTTTACTCAGAGGGGGGGGAGGGGACAATCTATCCCATTACTCGGGAGATGTGATGGGTTTAAATGTTATTTCAACGATATTAGAAAACGGAATAATGCAAAAATATGTTTTTTTATTGAGATGATGAAAATTAAGTATATTTGTTTAAATAATATTTAATAATTCTACTAAAAAACAATAAAAAAAACCTACACGCCATTGAAGGCAACATTTTGCATTGTGTTTCTTTTTATTTTTTGCAAAAATACCCAAATTTGAACCCCTGGTACTAAATCATAAAAGTGTTTTGAAGCAGCAGCATAATCTCCATGAAAAACAAAACGACAGACTAGGATTTTATTTTCAAATAAAATGTCTTTTTAGCATCCATAAGAATTTTACATCTATGTAAATGAAGCATTTGTAATGAAGTAAGATGCATCCAATAACTGTTTAACTCCATCAGTTTTACCTTTTTTTTTTCAGCATGCAGTATGGGCACAACAAACCTTTAACAGGCAAGGTTTGTCTAATTCAATATCAGTATTTATACAGGGATATTGATATTTTAAATAGGCAAGCATGTACAATTGAAACATGTGGTTTCATCTGCATATTAAATTTTTTCGAATACAATATCAAAAACCTAAAAAAGAGGGGATGAAAGAGCCTGAAAAATTTTTTTTTGACTTTCTTTAAAATTACTGCAGCTTCCTTTAGGGCAGTTAACTGTATCATAACACAGTGAAATAAATATGAATATGTTTAACAATAAAATGCACAAAAATTATGGGAGAACAAATATGGCTACCAATACCAAGATTGTAACTTTTGAAAGTTTAACCTAACCTTAACCCAAAATATATCTAGTAATGTTTATAAAACTGCTCATTAGGAGTCTAATAAGTTTCAACTAAATGTATAAACTCTTAAGTGGAGGTTGCAAGATACAATGACAGATAAAATTCAAAAGTTAACCTCTTAAATTAACACAGGTAGATTACACACAATCACAAGAAACAGTTGTTTTTTAATCACTTATCATTTCTTACATAGTTCAAGTACAAAGTTAAAATGCAATTTAATTAGTTCATATTCATACAAGAGTAAAATAATAGTGCCTTTTCCTAACTACTACAAACTTAAATACAGTCATTTTAAAGACAAACTTGATTTATACTAACAATATATTTTTCTTGTTTTTCCGATAAAATTTTAGCACCTTTTGAAACACCAACGGGTCCTCACTTTTCATAGAAGCTCATCATTCATTTAGTCCATGAGATGAGTGTCTGCATGCGCTGCAGCATTGTATTTGTAGCTGTTGTGTGTCTGAGCGTTCGTCGCCCTGTCTATAACAGTGTTTCTGATGTATGTTTGTCTGCAAAGTGTATCAGTGTTAAAAACAGCGCATCACTCAGCCTAAAAGCTGTCGATAGGCGAACAGAAACATCATCACCTTGTCGCCCGTCGTTTAGAAACGGCGACTTCTTTCCTCATCACTTTAATCCTGCTGCACTCTCAGACAGAAATGTGTTAAAACATTTTTTTACAAGCCAGAACGAAGCAGTCTTTGATTTAAGTCACCGTGTGTGGAACTTGTTTTTTTTGTAAAAACTCCCACAAACGTTATTCAAAAGATAAAATTCCTTATCTATACCAGATTTTTAAAATTATCCTTAGATTATCCAGTCATCAGTATATATATATATATATATACATTGAAAATATACATAGATAAAGACTCCTTGTATATTATGTTGCAACCCTGTAAACAACATTTAAGCTCCTGGAATTTATCTTGTGATTATTTTTCAGACTTTTGGTTGGAAAAAAAACTCCTAAAAGTTGACAGGTTTGATCTCAGATGAGGTTTAACTTGGCTTGTTTCAACTCATTTCTGGTCTGAGACTTTTGAACAGCTCATCTTTCCATCTGTTTCTCCTGGCATTCATGGTACGATAGCACAAGTCACTATACTAACTGTAAAATATGCTTTCTATAGCCTCTCTCTCCCCTATCTGTAGGCCAAGACTGAACTGAACTGATCACCAACCTGGAACAGTACACACACACAATAACAGATTATTATTGTAATTATTATGATCATATTGTTATTATTATCAATACTCCCTAATCTAACATGGAATCAGAGATTACATTGACTGACTGACATGCAGCACCTGGGGAAGGTGGTGATGGGGGAAGAAAGGAGAAGGACTGGGGTTGGGAGCACCGAGCGATGTGGGGAGACCATGTCACCCTCCAGCGCCGTTGGGAAGCCTGATGGTAAAACAGGCAACCGGCAAAGAGCACAGTATGCGTGTGTATGTTTGTGTTTTGTTAAAACGAAGCTGAAATGGTGGGCATTGTGTAACCAGCAGATGACTGTGTGATTTTTTTTTTGACCTGCAGAGAGAGTACTGTAAAAAAGAGCAGAGTTTAAAAAGCACCTGAAGGTTGGTTGTATAGACGGAGAGTAAACATGGTGGAAAAAAACGTTGAACCTGCTGGTTTACTGTTGACGTGCGAGGCTGGGCATGTAAAGCGTGTGTGTGTCCGCATAGACTGCATGGATTCAATCGTTAGCTGGTATCTGAGAAAGGTTGAGCGGACTGGAAGGCTTCCTGGGGAAAAAAGGGCCGCCTGAGGACCACAAGCACCAGACTGAAAGCTTTTCTAAGAAGACAGCCCTGTGTAAATAACCTACCCGTCACTAGGTGGAAGTCTCTCATAGGGCCTGTATGTCCAAAAACCACTTATCTCAGTTCTATAATTCTGAGTGATTTATATTATTGCAGCATTGGATTAAAAGGCATAATGACCAGCCAATAAACAGTTTCTTTGTTTTAAAAGAAGGTGTGCGTTATTTATACAGGGTAATCTGTTTCAGTCACAGGAAGTAAAAAAACAGCATAGTGTCTGGAGTAAAGGTCTGACTCTGATTTCAGTGGATGTTGCTGCTACTATGCAGTAACTAAAGCACAAAGTGGATCTCTACGAGCACAACTCCTGGAAAACACAAAGGTAAAAGAAAATGAAGCAATACTGGAGTTGAGGCACAAGAGAAGCTGCACCATAACACCAGGGTACTGTAAATGCTGCTGCAAGAAAGATACTGTATCCTACCAAGTCTTTAAACTTTTCGTTGAGGCAGAGCTAGTGTAAGGGATAGGCTGTATTGCAACATTATGTAGTTTATGGGTCTATATCATTTAAAATCTACCTTTTTGAGCTTTTAAACCACGTTATAATAATATCCTTTCATCAAAGTCATGCACAAAGTGGTATTTCGCTTGAGTCATGCATCTCTGGGTAATCCTCCTGAGTTTTGCTGTCTAAGTCAGCGGTCCCCAACCACCGGGCCTCGGACCGTTACTGGTCCGTGGGTCATTTGGTACCGGGCCACACAGAAAAAAAAAAATACAAATTTATCGACGAGCAGAGTCTGAGTAATGTTTTATTTTGAAAAATAAAAAAATTGCGGTATTCTCTCCCAATTACATCAGTCGGTTAATTCAGTTCAAGACTCATCCTGGGTAAATACGATCAAGTAAAAAACTGTCCACTTACATACGTATCTCGGTATATGTTTGAGGTTCTGATTGTCGTTATTATCATATTGTCGAAATGATGTCTATATTTTGGTCTATTATTGGACTAAAGTGGGACAAAATCAGACCAACACAGCCCATTTTTAAAAAACTATTTCCGGACCAAATCAAGACAATGACAGACCGACCAGATTTAGCCTAAAAACCAACATCTAAATGACGTGTGGTGTTTGCGGGGAATTAATCTAACATTTTGTGTTTTAAGAGGAGTTTAGGTTGTGTATACTATTTTTTTACCCGTTGGCATTATGGGCAGCACAAATAAATTTTTGAATGCTTATTGATAGCTCTGCCTCAAAGAAATTTGACCGTTTTCAACTTAAACAAGGTGTGAAACTTTCCTTATTTAAACACCTGAGCTATATTAGCTTTGCCTTCCTACATTTATAATAAGTAAGGTAACTAAATATGGTCCCAAATGTCTTCAGTCTTCTTGTTCTTTTTTGTTTGCTTATTTTGCTAAACAAAAAGGTTTAGTTTATCACCAGTAAACAAAGAATGCAGAGACTAAAAAAAAAAAAAAAAAAACAGAGACTGTTTAGCCCCAAAGAGCACCAAAACCTGTAGAAATGTTGTGTTTAGGTGGCACCATTTGCATTCCATCACCACCACACTAGCACCACGAGCATTAACTGTTATGTGTGTTTGCCTTTGAATTTTTGTAGTTCTTTATGTTGCTAGGCTTTAATAGATTTCAGTGTTATGGCAGAAGGATTCATTGGTGTTTTTATGTATTCAGAGACATATTCAAAAACAAAAAGCAGGAGCATCTTTGTTACTCTTGCACCCCCTGGAGGTTGTAACTAGCTGTTGCAGCACAGTAAAGCCAGAAGACATCAGTTTCAAGGTTGGACAGGAAGTATACTAATGAGTTACAGTACAGAAACCCTGTGTGTGTTTGCGTTTATAAATCACCTCGGTAGCACCAGGGAACTAAGGTCAGCCAGTGGTCTACATTACCTGTTGCTTTTGTGTGTGTCGATATCTGTTTGCCCAGTATTGTGTCATTCTGCATCAGCCAACCTTTATATACTGACTGTATTCTGTTTGTGGTAACCAGCATGTGTGTCTCTTTGTGTGTGTGTCTGAGAGAGAGAGACTTGGGTTTGTAGTTAATAGCAGGCAAAGTACTCCTTGAGCGGGGCGAACAGGTGCCTGATGACGGGGACACTCCAGGAACGACCCAGCAGCCTTTGCCTCGCCAGACGACTCATGTTGGACACATCAGTGTAATGGACAGGAAAACCAAACACCCTGAAACAAGACATTTAAGAAATTTTAATATTTATACCGTAGTACAAGATTTTACAGGATTAGCTGGA